AAAAAATGTTGGGGGCGGAAAAATGGCCTTACCGCCACTTGTCCTTTGTTTGTTTTTTTATTCTCTCAAAGTTAATAAAGAATACTGTTACCACTCAGGTAAACAATATAAGTATGGAAATAAAATTAAAAAAAAATAATTATCTTACTTAATTATTATGAATAAGAAAAAAGTCTAGAGGAAGATGAATTATATATTGTTCTCCATTTATTCTAGAATCTCAAACAATGAGCCCTCATCGTCATTATCATTACCATCGAGTAATTCATCAAGTAGTAATACAACGCCTGTATTATCTTCTGTTTCATCAATGAAACCAGTGTCATTGATATCAGCAGGTGAGACATTTTTTTCGATTGTTTTTGTGTAAGTATTGGTAATATCTTCATATCTTTTCGTTTAGAACTCAATGATACATATGGTGTAAGTTCAAGAAGAGGTTCTTCTTCAACAGCAAACAATATCAACAGCAATCGTTGGTGACCTGTAGATCCTCCTTATAGATATAATTTCAAGAATCGTCAATGTAGAGTACGAAATACTCGTCACAATCAATTTCACCAACATCGAGATTATGATACAAGATCTGCAATGATGACAAGAAGTAATACTGCACAGAAATGAACTTGTTGAGCTTTTTTTTAAACATAATGGATTTTCACGGACCGATTACACCAGCAACAAAGAATGGTAATAAATATATTATTTTATTAACTGATGTATTATCAAAATTCGTAATTACGAAAGCAGTCCGTGATTGCACTGCTTCAACTGCAGCACAATTTTTGATCGAAGAAGTGATCCTTAAATATGGCACTCCGAAATGTATTCTTACAGATAATGGTACACATTTTACTGCTAGAATGATGAACGAATTATTCAAGAAGATTGGTGTTACACATTTGTACTCAACACCTTACCATCCAATGACTAATGGTCAAATTGAAAGATTTAATGCAACAATGGACACTAAAATAGTAGCATTATCAAATGAAAAACGCACGAATTGGGATGAACAATTACCCTTTGTTACATTCAATTATAACACCACTATCCACAAAACAACTGGACAAATTCCATTCGAATTAATATATGGTCGTTCACCAACTCTACCTTTCGATCAATAACAACCATTAGTTACATTATCACAAGATCCAGAACACAA